TTGCCACACCCTGAATAGCAATAGTCATGCAAGATTAAGAGTGGAGTGAAATCCTGGACTTGCCGAAGTCCATGGCAAGACTCCCATTTAATTTCAGGCAGGCCAGGGTTTTAATGCATATTGTTACCATATGGTAGATTTTAAGACCAACTGACAAATGCAAATAAAAGCAGAAAAGAATTTACTGTTATAATAGCTACACGAATTAACTGCATTCGTGTTACCAAAATCCAGTACACAAAATACATGTGTCTCCCAGCAACACCTATGACTACCCTCTTAAAAGTATTGATTTCACATAGAAGAACTGAAATTCCTCTAATCCAAGAGCATTCTCCCCCAAGGAAGCAGATTTTCTAGATCAGCTTGACTTTTAAGCACAGAAAGATGCTATTTTTAATGCTAACGTAGTTTATTTAAATGTACTATTTTATTCATGGCTTAGACCTTTCCCCCTTTTTTTCCTATTAATTCTAATAGAAAATATTCTGTTTAAATAGCAAGGATAAAAACTGGGAGTTGTTCCTGAGGTAATACAAAGCTTTAGGAGACAGTGGTCTCCTAAATTCAAACCAAACATCAGCTAATGCAAAAGGCCTAGAGGTAATACTTCAAAGTTCATGCTCATCATCATAGTGTGGCTGTTGGATTTTTTTTTCCTTAACTCCCTACAAATAATTTAATAAAGGCATTGCCTCCAGACAGTTATTTTTGAATTGCTATAATTCATGCATCTCTCAGTATGATTATTTCATATTGCTTGTGTATTTAGGAAGATTAATATATACTAGACACATTATTAAAATTCTTTTGTTATCCTAAGGGAGAATTGAAACACCTTTTTGTCCTATAGGCAGCATCTTCATGCTTCAGATACAAGGTTAACAGTTCAGTGAGCTACTAAGAATGAACTGAGTTGGGCAAAATGTTTTTCACCATGCTGCCCAGCAGTCCAGGATACAAATTTGAGATATGCTTTTTAATTTTGAAACATATTAGTGGGTGTGTTTTTGTTTTCTTCTTGGCTCCATCTAATTTTCTCACAAAGTGTTTAAAGGGACTTTGAAGCTGCTGGTCACGAACTCTATTTGACATCTCAAAGACAAGTCTTCCTTTCTAATGCAGGAGAGTCACCCATGGTGACTCTGGAATTCCAGCTTCAGTGAACTATCTCATGTCCAGTTTGGCTCTGAAGCAAAGGCAGACCCTAAAAGATGATTAATAAGAATGCTTTTTTTGCCACTGCTGATAAGATTCTGGCCACATAAAAAGAGGCAGGAATCACCTTGATTAACTAAACTACAGAGATGTTTAAGATACTTGTAGCATCAGCACTCAGTGATTTGCCCTGACAGTCCTGGCACCAGCTGCTCCAAAAGGGATGTTGATCAACTTCCACATTAAAGGCCTTAACTCTTCAGTGCAAAGGAGACACTACAGTACTGCTGTGCCTCCAAAACTGTGGGTTAATGTTAGTTTAGCATTTCCTGCAGGCTCCTGCTTTACATTCTTTTCCTCCAAAACTATTTATAGCAGAGCTTCAGCCACACAGTGACTTAGAAAAAACTCTGCATTCCTAAGCCCAGCCCAGTTCTCCATAGCACAAAACTTTAAGACAACCCTTATTAATTTGATGGGACTGTCAACTAATGCATAGCAGTGTCATTAGTGCTCTCTACTGAATAAATACATAATTACTCCAAAATTAATATTGCACATCAGGAACCCCAGTAACTAAGTGGAGTAAAACTACTTGCATTTAAATGATAATGCTTGGAATATATTTATAAAATCTTATGCCACTCAAAGGAAGTTAAAACCTTACAAAAGGATAATACAACAAAGGATGTAGAGAAGTCCTTGAAAACAAAACACAGCTGAAGTTGCAACTCTGATCTCTGAAGTAGCACAATTAGAAAAAAAAACAGGCAAGACTATACAAGAATACTTGAGTCAGGGCAGTTTTAATCAGAAATATTCCTTACTGTTCTTCACATACTATATCCATATGCACATATTAATTTACAGCTAACAGTTGTGAAATTCAATTTCAGAAATTCCTCTGTCCTCAAAAGCAGTAATGTATTTGGAAGTCACAAAACAATTTGCTTCATTACTGTTCATACCCTGCTAATAGAGGGCAAGCTTCTACTTGGCAAGCAGACTAAGTGGTTCACTGTCTCCCACATGAACAAAACCAAGTCAAAGTTTCTTTACCCCTCACCATCACCACCAGTGTCCATGGCTCCATCTGAATGAAGACTGCTGTAATTTACCATTCCCTCCAGCCAACACAGAACCACCAAGCCCTGCCACCAGCAGAATGGTTGTGCTGCCCTGGACTTCAACATTATTCAGAGCCAAACACAGAATACCTAAATTGGCACTCATTCGCTAATGGTTTGAGCACCTGCAACCACAAACCATTGCATAAAAATGAGCAGTGACTGACCTATGTGAGAACCTCTTAACATTGCAATTCCCTACCCCTACACTACCCCCTTCTATCAGTGGCCATACAGATTTCTTAGCAGAAGTTCTTACAAGTGCAGAAGACACAAAAATATTTTATTGTGACTGCTACTTGCCTGTATTTTTAAATGCAGAACTGAGACTGCCCAGAAAGTCACTTCTTTAAGTTTTCTAATTGCATTTTTGTTACCCTATGCTTGATACATTTGGAAATTATGTTTATTGCAGTAGCATTTAGAAGCTAACCAAGAAAGAAACAGTGTTAGGTGCAGCCCTGAATGCAGTGTAGGAGATACATCTGTGTCCTGGAGAGGTCATCAATCAGCAAGGGACGTGAATGAGGAGTGGGAGAGGGGATGTCAAAAGGAAAAACACCACAACACTGCTGAAGCCATAGTAGGAAATATTTTTTAAGCACCAAATTTGTTTAGGGGAGAGTAAGATAAAAGGAAGTTCCAAAGCAGATGGGGCAAAATAGGTTAAAATTACTACTAAACACAGAACTGCTGAGAAAACTCACCAAATTACAATTTTCTCTTATTTGTGATAACAGTTTCTTTTAGCCAGGCATACTCTTGGCTGCATCCCTTCAATTTTTCATCAGGCACATAAAGTAGGAGAGGGTTAAAGAGAATAGTCTTGCTGGGACCTAGTGATCTAAGAATAATCTGCATCCTAAAAAAAAAAACTGGGGTTAAGGATGTTTCAGGGACAAGGCTATCTACAACCTAAAATAATACACTTATCACACCAAATTAGTTTAATTGCCATTACACACACCCACACCTCTTTATGTAAGAAATTGTGCATAATCCTTTAAAAAACTGGGGAGAATATCTAAGGCAGAAAATAGTTCAGAAAATTTAAACAGCTATTTCCAAAGGAGATCAAGTTAAAAAGACAAATCCCAAAAGTATTTAGTTTTGTGAAAAATTGCTTAAGTAAAATGTAGAGAGATAGGCTGGACATTATTATAGTTCAAATAATAAAAACACAAATAGGTCAGAATTACCTTGACCAAGTGACTGCTATACTTTTCCCCATTGCCTTTTCCTTATGTATATGTGACATGTGAAGATGGTATGGTTTTGCTTAAATAAAGCAAACTCTTTTTGGTCCCAAAAAGATTAGGAATCCACAGCTCTGCATACCCACACACTCTGAAGCTCTTGCTTACATTTCTTTCCAGCTTCTACTTCTCCTTTTTAAAAACACTCTGCTTGTTTTCCTTTCATCAAATCCTCTCCAAAGCTGAGCATTCATGCCTATTCCCAGAACACGAGCTGGGGAATGTGAGCTGCTACTCTATAGTTCATCCTAGCTTTTCCCACTCAGCAAATCCGGAGCACCAAAGTGGACCAAATAAGCTAGAGATGAGCTGACTTGAGCTCAAAAGCAGCTTTGTCAAATAAACAGTTAAAACTTTGTGCCTGAAGTGCCTCCTGACTTGTGGCTCATTCTGTGCAATCATAACTGCAGAAATATGGACCACAGTGCACAAACTCTACACTGGATTTGCTCCCAAGAAAATGAGATGTTGCAGAAATACTCTGCTTCTTGATATCCCCAATGAAAGGAAACGGTCTTCACCTATGACTACACTTAAGCCTGTCATCTGTGAACAGAGGGTGCACTTCAGGTCTAGTGGACTAATTGCATTATTGTCTTTCCATCCTTCCACCATAACACACTGTGGGAGAAGCACTAGTCTTAGGAGGCTGCTGTGCAAGATTACATTGACACTACCTCGGATCCTGCTCCAGGAACTGGTCCTTCTCCTGCAGAAACATTTGTAACTGCTTTAAACAAAAGCAGTCCTTATATGCTTCTTTTACATCAAATCCCCAGATGCACAATATAGCAGACCAATCCAAATGATGAAATCAGCCACCTAGCTGCTTGTTTATACTGCAGCAAATTTCCTTCCCCAAGGAATTCTGCATAGCTGCTATTTTCATGGTCTCAGCAGTAGGAAACACCTCTTGTAGACCTGGGATGTTTAAAGCACAACACACAAACAGCAGCTCCTACTGGAGCCAAAGCACTTATTAAGAAAAAAAAAAAAAAAAAAAAAAAGTTAAAGCTTGATCTGTCTATTCCCTTGGCAGTCAGCAGAATCAAGTTACTTAATCAAAGCAAAATTGAAACATCTTAGGTCAAGAATAATTCTTCAATTAGACTGAATAGGACTTGGATGAAGGGGAGGTTCCCACGATTTTCTCCTCATAGGCAGTACCAAATTTAATCTGGAGACCACATAAAGGCAGCTAATGCCAGAGGGAGCTGTGGGCAGCCAACTTGAGGAGACTCAACTTCAAACTACGTATTCTAAGGGCAACCCAAACCTTTCCCTTCCCTTTCACACAGTTCACCACCCAGTTGTACTTCACAGATTATTAACTGGCCTGTGAATTGTTTGAGTTTCTTAGGTATTCCTGGAGTCAAGAAAAACAACCAAACCCAAAAGCCTTCTTTCAACTTTTAGTCTGGGGAAACTTGAGCAAAAATACAGAAGAGTAGAAAACAGCTTTTGAGAATCATGTCTTTATTTACAGGAGGCCTGAATGTTTCTCTGCCGTAACTTCATTGAGAAAGGCTGCATTTTTACCAACTATGATGTCCTTTATTATTTCAACAAGTTGAAGTCATTTCATCTTCTCTGAAGGTTGAAGTATCACCAGTTGAGAAGACAACTCAAATCATATGACTGCATTGTAAATACACAGGAAATCCAGCTATTTTGTTCTCCAGATACAGCTGGACCATCAAGAGTTCTCACATGACTTATTTTCCATGTTTTTGTATGAGATCGTTCAGGCTGAGATTTACAGGTAAAATAGATAATTTAAAAAAATCCGAATCACCATTGTCATATTTTACTAGAACATCTATCTTGCCTCTCCAGTCAAACACATGAAAACTTACATACTTTGACACACCTTTTGAGGCATTTAAAAGATGTATATTTTGACTTCTTTATGTATCCCAACACATGTACAGTAATTTTGACCCATCAATTTTTAAAAACTGATATTAAATACTATTAAAAATTTATGCCAGTTTACAAGATTAAAGCACAGGCATACAGCAAATATAGTTTCAACTGTAGTTCAGTAAAATAAACACCAGGAAGGATACAGGAAGAAAATTAATTACTTTATTCTGAGCACTAAATATTGCATTTCTTTAGTGAACATTTGAGAAAGGGCAAGTCAGTTGAAAAATTGTACTAACCTTTAAAGCCAAGTACTAACACATCCCTGTGTTTGACAGGGGATATGCCCTCCCCTCCAAACTCAAATGGCTTTGCATTTCTGCAAACCACTTAAGGCTGACACCTCCTGTTTTGTCATTTAATGTACACTGTAGGAAAACAAACAGCAAAACAGTTCACAGCCCTTGGACCAAATTCTTAAGAACTCTGAATAAACAGAGCTCCAACACAAGAGTCATGCAGCACAATGTTAAGGACAACAGTCTACATTCACAAAGTAAAGAAAACTGTCATTATAAACTGGTCAGTTTTGATAACTGTTCCCATCAAGTTAAAACTCTTTCCAAGACTACACCCTAAAGAAGTGGTCTCCAAAGTGAGGTTCATGCACCCCAAGACAATCCATTTGGATGCAAGAAAAAAGTATATTTTGCAAAATTAAAAAATGAAATTTTAAATAATTTAAAAATAGTCTTTATTTCACTTTTCTCTCATACTTTTAAAATTTCTACTCCTGTGTATGTACATAATAAATTAGTATAGTAGTACATATATTACTTATAAATTAATAAATATACATAGTGGGTGCACATGTAAGTTTTTAGTGATATGAGTGTGCAATCAGAAAGTTTGGAGACCACTGGCCTCGAGGATGCTATGATACTATAGCTGCTTGCACAATCATCTATCCTGTTGCTGAATTCAATTTTTTAACATCAACCTGAAATATACTCCTCAGCAGCATATTTTCAATATGCCTACTGAGATATTTCTCCTTCAAAATATAATGGATATAATGATACAGTGGAAACTTCTGAAGGATCAGGCTCAGATCACACAAGGCATTGTTGACAAAGTATCCTTTGGTGGAATAAAGTTACAACAGTGAAATTAAAACACATGAAACTTTTAAATCAGAATAGAGCCATGTTGACCCTTTTCCATTTGTCCCATTTCAGTTCAGTACCAGCTCTTCTCCTTCACCACCTGCTGCCCCTCTTTCCCACAGCAACTTCATGAGGAACCACCCAGTGTTGTCTCTTTTGACATGTCTATTAAAGCACTTTTACACCAGATTCCTAAAAATATTATCTGCACTGGAAAAAAAAAAAAAAAAGAACAAGAAATATGTATCTTGAATCCACATTCCTATCTAGAATCCTGCAGATTAAGAAGATATTCCATTTTAAATAAGGAGAGTACATATTGTAGTAAAAAACATTCATGCGTGCTTCACTCTGGGTTTTGGTTGTTGTGCCTTTGATTTGGGTGCTTTAATTCAAGCAAAAGTAGATTCCCAGTGAACTGGGGGATGTGTGTGTGCATTGTAACACCAAACCTTGTGTGATGAGGCAGTGCCACACTACACTCCACAGGCAGAGCTTGTGTCAGACACAAGCCAGCCAGCACCACACAATTCTTGGTTCTCTCACATTTGACCCCACAGCTCTGTGATTTAACAGCATATTATTCATAGCTCTGAATTCAGATTTAGGAAGACCTATGATGACTGGCTACAGGGAACATGAAAGCCATCAAAATTGTCTATTCCGATCTCATTTAAATCATAGATCATTTGCTCACCTTTGAAAATACCCAATAATTTCCATTTGATTACATCCTACTGAAGATACCAAGAGACACAACTCATTACATCTCATTGTAGGTTGTTACCCAGGGAAATCACCCTTGTGTTAGAAACTGAGCACATTTCTTTAGATCACAACTCCTCCAAGATTCCACTTGCCATGATTTGGTAATTTTTATGCTTCATTCTCCTATATCAGAGACCAACACCACCCCAAACTGAGCAGTTAACTTTTGTTGTTATGTCACAGTTCGATATTTTCTTTATTTACCCTCAAATCTTTGAGCCTTAAAAACAATACTTGCAATGAGGCAAGACAGGAAACCCAACAAAAGAGCAAAACTCTAGGAAGGGACCTCTGGTTTATCAGGTTTAGTTGCCTACTAATCAGACACCACTTTGCATTTTGTTTCTTTCATAGATATACTTCACTCTTCCTTCAAAGCAAGGCTCTGCCCAGAAGGCTGTTCAAGAATTAGGAACTTTGCTTCTAATCTAAATTTTATTTACAGAAAATTTATATCCACTTGATTTTGTTTCAACACTCACAGCTCCCAGAGCTTTTGCCTGTCACTTGTACAAAAAGTATTCTGACTCAATGAACAAACTTAATGCTACAGATTAAAAAAAAATAATAATTTAAGGCTTACCCATGAAATTAAACTTCCAGAGCAGAGAGAAGATAAAATATTTTAACTTTCCAGAGAAGGGAACACAGAAAAAAAAAAGAAAAAAAGCTAGCCAGAAAGTGCGATTTATTCAGTCATTCAAAGAAGCCTCTTCTCTCCTCATCCTGTATAAATGGGCTCACAGACATTGTAATCACTTTTTACAGGGGAGACTGTTCACAGTAATCCATTGTGATGCTCCACATGAAAAAAAGTACAAAATTAACAGCACAAAAGAAAGTTAATACAATTTGAGTGACCATACAAATCACAGTCTGTCTTGGTAGAAGCAAATAGGATTTTAAGACATACCACCCTTGAGTGGTACAACTGTGTCTCTTTCATGAAAGTAAGCTACAAAAATCCCAAAACTTCTGAAAAGGTCTTATGTATTGTGTATCTTTCTGTGGATTCAACTCAATAAACTTATTAAGACTGGAACCAAAAAGGTAAATAAATAAACCATCCAGCATTCATTGACAAGAAATAGAAATCAAAGTACCATATGTACAATTTTTCTCTCATGTCCAGAAGATAGTAGCATGCAACACTATTACTGTAAGAAATAAAAAAGGTGCACATTTCAAAGCATGAAATAATTCTTCACTTCCGCTAGGTTTACTGAAACCTTCCAAGTTGGTTATCTATGACTCTCCAGTCTAGGACAGCTTTACAGCTTTCAAGTCACCAAGCAGACTTAACGAAAGGGTATCCTGAATTTTAATATCTACTTGTAAAACCCCAAGCAAATGCATTGACAGAAGTCAACAAGGTGAAAGAAATAAGTTATTTGCAGTTTCAGACATCCATCATTTTGCAGCTAAGCAGATCCAACCTGATTGGCATTATTCACATGTAAATTTCCCATATTTAACACCTAATTTAGAATAGGCAAAAAGGGAGTAGAAAGCATTCTAAGAGCTCATGAAATATAGTTCAACAGGTATACAAAAGACATACTGCTTATTATTTTTAGGTATGCTGCATAATTTGTATTTTCACTGTGAGAACATAAAACCAGAACTGACCTTCACAAAATTATGATTTCATATAGAGTAAAACCACTTGCCTCTGCTTCTACTTACTAGTAGTTTAAAAATGAACAGTAAACTGACACAGAGAGACAAAATATTCCCAAGGTAATGCAATGAGTAGACAGCTTTTTAGTGTGTCCTCAATCTGGGAGAGAAAAGCCAAATTAACCTGTCTTATAGAACATTTTCAAACCAAAGCAAACTGGCAGAGAAGAAAAAGGAAATAAAAAACCTTCTTAAACTAAAAGTTACAGAATTTCAAAGCAAAGTGAACCTTCAAAAAAAACCTCACCCAAGTTCAATGAAATGAGGATGTTCCTCATGGCAGTCTCAAAACATTCCGTGTTTCTGTCGCTGAACCTTTGGTTCAGAAATCTACCACTGAGATAGCAATGGAAAGAGTAGGCTAAAGCCAAGGTATCACAAACTATCACAAGAAAGCTTAGAAAGTAGTAAAAAAAGAAAAAAAAAGGGGAAAAAAATCAAAGTGAGCTGCTCTAGCTTTCTTGAGTATAACATCCGAATCCATAGTAAGTTACATTGTTTTAGTGATAATATAAAAATAGCTTGCAAGATAAATTACCTTTGAGACTAAACTCCATATATTTAGAATCATATGAACAATACTTACTTCTCTCAATAAATCTTATGCTTTTTTTAAAGCATTTTCTAAGAAATTTGCTTATTTTTATACAGTTAAGCTAAAACCTGCCAGGTCTGCATGCTTTTTAAGGACACGCTTTGTCACCCAACAGACTATAAAAACACAGCAAAAACATTGCAGAATTTTGTATTTAAAGATACATTAAATAAATTTACACTTCCCTCTAAGATTACTCAAGAATTAATCACTGGGTTCAACAGTCTAAGTCCTTTACTTCTGTTATCCTCATTGCACATCAAAATCAAAGTTGCTATTTCTGCCAATACTCAAAGGAGTGTATCCTCAACCTCTGCTGGCCTAATGGCCAATCAAACACTGCTCCTTAGGCAGAATAATTTTGGGCTTCTGCAGACTGGAAAAAAAAAAAAAATCCTGAACTCACCAAAAAGTTCTCACTACCAGCAAAAAACCAAAGGCAAAACTTCAAAAGACTCCTATAAGCAAAGATCCTCAGCAAAGACCAATAGAGGAATATCTTCTGTGACTTCACAAACATAGCTCCGTTTTTATGACGGAGGTCATTTTTTTCCCAGCAGTACAGGCCATAAAAGTTATAGATTGCTAGGTATGTGTGGGACTCAGATTCAGTCAAAGAAAGAAACTGAGAGTTTCTAGCCAGGCAGAAACCTGGGAAAGAGCTGGAGAAGAATGTAAATAATTCTTTATCTCTCTTGTTTTTCACATTGTTTATAGTGAAATTTTATCATTGTGTGTCAAGCACTTTGCACCAATGGTGTAGGTTGTTTTCACTTCAGGACCAATGGATTTGGTCCTCACGAAGCTCTGTATAAAAGAGCGGTGTATTCTGAATAAACCAGAGTTTTACTCTCACAGCCTTCTGAGTCAGAGTCCCTTCATTCCCATCCTGCCTCGACAGCAACAGGTATGTATGTGCATTTTTTAATGAAAAAAAAATGAAGGGCAACACTTACTGCATTTCAAACTTACAGATTTTAACTTCTGGGAACCTAAAAGCTTTCTATAAATGTCATGATTTCTAACACAAAAAAAATTGACTACTAAGACATTTTTCTCATCTTCTGCAGCCTCAGAGAGTTTAAGTTATAGTACTGCAAGGCACATACAGAATCTCTTCCTTTCCAATACTCAGCAGATATAATCCCTGAAACAATTTTTAAATCCTCAAAACAATCAGAAATGCTACTGAGTTAACAATTTCTATTTAAAAACATTGCTCCTACACAGCATGCACTTTTTTTGGATAACAAGTTAGCAAATATTTATGTTTGTTTTTATTTTCAGTTACACTGGAAATGGACTGAATAATTTTTAACCTGGAAAGTACTGTATCATATCACATTTAAGTTATTGCCTTCATTACAAATGGCATCATCTCTGAAAATCCACACAGGTATTGTACTTGAAAAAAGCAGTAGGTGTAAGACTACAGATGCAGTTTAGCCCATCTGAAAAAGGCTTTCTACATAAAGCAACACCATCAGAGTAAAAAATGAACTTTCTTCATTCAGTGGATGAGGAAACAGAAACTGATGTAAGTGCATTTTGTTCAGTTTAATGCAATGTCATTAGCATGTACTTAAAAAAAAATTCTTATTTTCTGTTTTTTTGGGCAAGCATATCTTACTATGAAAGCAACTGAACTTTTAAGAGGTAGGTTTTTTCCATTATGCGCTTATTTATTTCAAATAAAACATAACCAAAAAACCACTAATATTTGCTTTTGGCCAAGTATCAAGTCTCAAAGCCTGGTACAACTCTGAAGAGTTCAGTATTTTATTTGTCCTCAGCAGTACTAGGCTGCTTTGGAACCAGTGTATTCCAGATTTTCTTCACAGTCAAAAGACCAATCTACCGACGGTACTGAACCCACCCCCTCCTCCTCCACCTGTCGGCCCACAACTTCCCGGGGGATCATTGTCATCAAATCCATTGGGTCGGAAAGAGCAAGAGGCTGAGGCAGCTTGAAGTGCTTGTGTTCGAGCACTAAGCTCTTGCTCCTGAAATGAAAGAATAAAGACAATTAAAAAAAACCCCAACCCACAATCTTCATGCCCTTTTAAAGCAGCATCACTAATTTCTAGTGAACAGCTTTGCTGAAGTTTCAAGCTGAACATCCACAGCCAACCTAAGATACATAATTTCCCTGACAGTAAGCATAAATGAAACAAAATTAAATCATTCTGAGTTCATGCTAAAATTGTATTTCATAACAACATGGGATGTCACTAAAAAATTAGACTGATGAGAAGTTAACAAAACAGGTTTTGATTTATGTTTCATATAAATTTTCATTGTAGCAATTTTCACATGCTCTTCTTCTCGGTTGCAAAGTCAAAAGGTAAAACCTTTATGTCAATGTTTGTTACTTTAAAGATATTTTCTCATTCCACTCCATCAACTGCATAGAGTAACAATATACTCAGGTAAAAGGCCAAAAGATGGACAAGCTATCTAGTTTCTATTCACTGCAGCTTATCAGCATTCAATTATTATTGCTATGCTAACTGTTATAACGTAGCAAGTCTCTGCAACTCTCAAGCACTTCACAAAAATCAGCGTCCACTGCTGGAAAATGTACCTGCACAAGTGGAAGGAACATGAAAGCTCTGCCTCCTGCCAGCTGCTTTTTCAGCTGAATGCTCCTGAGGCTTCTTAAGACATCTAAGAAGGGGATTGAGCACATGTTTTTCCCTCATTAGACATATCATGCTCCATTTTTTCTCTGGCCAACTAGTTCAATAAGCCCTGCAGCAATTTTATATCTTTAGTGTACCTTTCTCAAATTGGCCAAGAGCTTCAAAAATTGAGGGAGAGATGCAGATGTTGGCTCTGGAAGGCTAACAGGAAAAGACAGTGGACCTGGCTGAAAAGTATTCCAGTGCTAAGGCTCATACCTATAGCTGCCTTCACATGACACTTCATCACCACACACCTCCTTAAAGGGAATGGGAGCAAACCTTAGAACAGGGTTTTATTAACTACAGGGTCACCATCAATTCTCCCTGACTGTATTATACTACCATGAAAACACTAAACTCAAGTCTTGTCCAACTGCTTTCACAGTTGCTAAAAGTAGATCTTGTGAATTGAAATTATTTTGCCCTTTTCAAAAACACAGCCTAAGTTTGTAACTACTGTACACTACTAAGGACTGAAATGCATACTCATTTTCAAAATTAAGATATTTGGAGGACACTGTCTACACAGATGTGTTGGTCATATTCCTCAAGACAGTATTATGCTATCTCCAGCAATATGTGTAGTCCTAAGTATCTAGCTAACTCTATGACACACCAAAGACTACATATGTTTACTAGTAATAACAAGAAAATATTAAAAACTTATAGTACCAGAAATCAAACACAGATTTTGCTTAAAATACCAGACCTTGCATAAATAGCCAATTTAGCTCAAAAACTACATTAGCAAACTGTTTACCTTATAGCACTGTCATTTTTACAAGCAATAGCCTTATTTCTAAAAACATTGAATGTTTTTAGGTTGTTATATTTATCCCCACAAGTACTACATTAGGTAAGTAAAACTTGATAGTCAATATAGTTCTCTGGACTCAGAATAACTAAGAGCACCCTCCCTTGCTTTCCGTTTGTTTGCAGTAAGGGTTTTAAAATTTGTTTTAAACAGAGTGGGAGCTACCCATATTGCAGGTTTAATTATTTATACTGAAAACATCTTCATTTACCATGTGGTAAACAGACACACAATAGCAAAACAAAAGCAATAAGAGACAGAATTATTTTGAACATATCTTCTGAAAATTAAAGGCTTTCTCAGGATAGAAAAATATATTCTTAACTTAGCTAGAAAACATTAATTTAGAACTCTGAACCAACAGTGAAATATGGCATCTTAAAATTAGAATAATCTAATTCAATAAATCACAGTATTAGCATTAATTTCAGAAAAACAGTAACCAAGCACTTGTAATGAGTCTCAATTAAAATAAGAAAAGGTCAGGAGCTCAGAAACCCTGAGATTAATAAAACACTAAAAAAAAAGCCAATACTGAAGAATTCAAAAGTGAAAGGTAGGTAAAGATCTAAAAACAAACAAAAAAGAAAACACTAGAAAGCAAACAAAAATAAAATGCTTTGAAAATATTTTTAATTTTGAGATAGTTACAATTACAAAATCATTTTAAACTAAACAAGGGTAGAGTTAGACTAGATAAAAGGAATGAGTTTTGTATGAGGGTGGTGAAGCACTGTGGGTTACCCAGAGGTGGTAAATGCCCCATCCCTGGAAACATTCAGGGCCAGGCAGGATGGGACTTCCAGTAACCTGGTCTAGCTGATGATGTCCCTGCACATGACAGGGGTTGGACTAGATGGCTTTTAAAGGCCCCTTCCAACCCAAGCTGCTCTTTGATTCTGCGATCAGAGATTGCCACTACAGAAGCCAAGAGTAAGTCAAGACGAGATGTGGCACATAAGCACAGACAGAGAGGATATAAATGCTTTAACCACGCAGCTTGAAAGTAACAGCAGATTTGCAACTTAAGCTCTCAGTTTTCCTGTTCATGTTTGTAAAATACCTGCAGCAGATTTTCCACAGTGAGATTTAGCTCATTTTTTCTAAGTTAAATTTACCTAGTTCTTCTAATTTGAGTTGGCCTATAGCCCTTATAGGAACAGCTTAACCCATCAAAGAGCACACAGTAAAACATATTTTTACTCCTAAAACATTAAAAAAAAAAAAAAGCAGAAAAGCAGCAATGCTCTAAGAAAAACATACTGAAGTGTAGAGAACAAGAGAACACTGGCTTTTGTTAACAGCAAACAAAAGACTGCCACAGCTAGGTGAAGTTCTCAGACCACAGAGAGTGTGCTGCTGGAAGTGCTGGTCCCAGACGACATTGCATAGGCAGCAAAGGGAAAATGGAATCCAGTCACACACATTTGGTCATCATTTCAGCTGTTCTAGCATTTGGGTAAGAACAGTTTTGTAAGTCAAACTTGACTACAAACGAAAATGCACTAGTAAGAACACCACTTAGAAGTTTTTAAGTAAACTTAAGCCACTCTTGTAATTTAACAAAGACAATGAAAATTTGAACTGTTCGAAGCCACTCCCATATGGAATGACATGTGGTTAAACAACCTATACAAGCATATCCACTCAAAAATTTAAACTGAAATGAGTTTATGCCATTTTCCTTGATATTTTCCATCTAACAGTGACAACCTTACTACAAAACCTGTCCAACAACACTAAGATGAAGCCAGATTGAAGATTTATAAGGTTAATATAGCAGAATACTTAAAAGCTACCTTATTCTTTCCTCTAGACTGCCTCTTGTGAGGAGACACCCTTTACACAAAGGAGAAACAAACAGTCTTCTCTTATCCGGACTTAGCTTATTTTCCTTGTCTTAGCTGTTTTAGCTAGAGGAGGAGACACCCTTTACAAAAAATTTCCATCTTACCTGCAAGTATAGTTTGTTATCTTTCGTAATTGCATCCATGAGGTCTTTTTGTAGAGGAGGGTCTCCATTTACCCAGAGGCCATTTGCTGGATTGGTGTTGAAGCCACAGGTGCTGTTCTGCTTTTTGTAAAACAGAACATAAGCAGTGTCCTTTGGAAATCTACTGGTGATTTTCTGGACTGACTGAAATGAGGTAAATGTCACTCTGCTGTCATTGAACAGAAACCATTCTCTTGGCATCTCAGTGTCCAGATCATTTTCTACAACAGTACAAGGACTATCCTCTGTAAACAACTTATCCTGAGGAGATACTAAAGAAAGAGCTGTAGACTGGTGGCAGAGCCCTGAAGGCCCTGACCCAGTAACATTTCTAGCATATGAATAATAATGTCCACTTTCAGAGGATACACCAGAATGCACCACCACAGAGCTCAACACATAGGGCACCAGTTGTGGGCAGGCCACTTCATCAGCACCAGAGGGCTTCAGTTTTTTAGCAAGGTTTTCTCCAGTATCAGAAACCTCCACACCAACAGACCAGCCTCCTGAAACAACAGCTAAAGGGGATGTTGCTCTTTTCACTGGCAGTTCCAATATAAGTGGTAGAGAAACATTGTCCAAGATTTTGCGCCTTATGTGACACTTTGGATCATATGAAAATCTCAAAAGAGTGAGGATGAGGTATTCAGGTTCCTCAATGATCTGCATAGTTTTTTCAGCATTCTGTAGAGAGGCACACTTTTCACAATAATATTTGTTGTCTCCACTAAGGATCTCAGGTGCCAGAAAATAATTGAGTAAGTCTGTAACTGACAGGGTATTTTTACCTACTAGACTCTGAGACATATCCCCGTTATTTTCAACTTTGAGTTCAGAAATTGTGGTATTCTCAGAGCTTGGCTCACTAGTAAAATCTCCTATGGTTCCTTCATTCATTATTGTGTCACATCCATGATTTACTTCCAAATTACTGAGACATGTTTCTGCAGCACGACTGGTTGCTGAAGTATTAGTTTGCACCATGTAGTCATCTTTCACTTCAGAATGTTCTATGCATTTTGGGTCAACTTTTTCCAAGGAAGTTGGGGGACAGAAAGCCAAAGAGAGATCTGTGAAAGCTTCTTCCTTTTGAGACATACTTTTGCAGTTCAAACAGCACACGTTAGTCTTCAATTTTCCTCCAAACATCTTCTCTATCAGAGTTCTTTCTTCACTTCCCATACAAGGTACTTCACTATACACTTGTGTTTTATGGGCAGTTTCTTGTGCCTGGGATTTGTCAGTCATAATACTTTCAGAACTCTTGGCTGAAGACAACGCTTTCAAAGTTCTCTCTTCTTCATGCAACCTGAAGACAAATAAAGAAAAAGAAATCCAACTAACTGTGCTATTTTCCAATATTGCCACACTACTTCATATTATTTTTCCAGCTAAAAAATACAGATGGTTAAGTTGCTGTATTTTTTTTTTATATAAGAAAGCTGAAGCATAGAGTTCCAAAACAGAATATGAGTGGCACAAATGCATTTATTGTGGGTCTCATTATATATAACAGAACACAATGGATATATTGAAAGAACTAGGAAATATTAAAGAAACCTAGCAATGTTTTTATTATTTACCATTACGTTGTGTTAATAAATCAGCTCTTGAGTTGACTGGGCCTGTATATCAGACTTTGTAAGAGAAAAAGTAACTATTTGTCTACTGCCAGACTATTTCCAAAGATAATGTCAGAATTCTGCAGCCAGGAAAGTTCTGCAGCAAGAAAATCCAAACCAAAAGAGGAACCCAAAACATGGTGAAAAAAATAAGAGAACGCTATTTCACTATTGAGATAAATTTCTCCAGAAGTGGAATGTGTCTTAAAATAATACTTCTTAAGCCCCATTTAGCAAGCCAAAACTAAAGAGGGTTATTAATAAATTTAGGTATTACTGATTTATCTCTGCCACAGTTAATTTGCTTGCTTAATTAACTGGATATAAAAAAATCCCCATACATCTCTTTGTGACTTACTGGCCTTGTATGAAACACAGCTGTCTCCACCAACATGAAATTCCAGACGCACAACTAAATTGCTTTCATCAACTGCATTAATTTAACAACAAGACCACAACCTGAACATAGTACCCATATTTAGATTTACAAAAGTGGCACATTGTTACCACCATAACCTGTCCTCAATTAAGTGGATTCAAGATGGCATCCAGACTTCACTACAGATTAAACTCATGAAGAAATGTAGTTTGTAAACTATACAGAAAACCAGAGAAAGACAGGAATGAGGCTGAAAATTCCTGATCCCCACTCATGCAGTGGAACTGTTGCACAACTGCTCCTAAGAGTTCAACATTATGTGGTATGGCTGTAGATTCATTCCCATTAATGGCACCATAACCATACCTGTCTAGCAGGAATCTGAGATATTCTGAACAATCCTGCTGGGATCGAGGAGTGAACCATGGTGGTCTGGAAGCTTCAAAGAAAATTCTAGGAGCATAAGCCTCTCTCTGTTCAAGTGAGAGAACAGGCAAGATTACATAGGAACAACTTAAAAAGTTGGTTATATTATTTTAATAGTAACAGCTGAACTATGAACTACATTATCCCAGAGTAACTGAATGAAACACAAGGTACACAAACATTTAAACAACTTAAGCATATGAAGAGAGAGCCATTAATTTTGTGGCAATCACCTCTAGTACAAAGATAAAAATAGTTTATCCTGCTGGAAAATATTAATGTTTAAGTGAGTACAAGCCAAGTATTTTAGCAGCTACCATTCTTGCTGGTGAGTTAAAAAACCTGTTTGCTTTCTTCAGAACACCAGTCCTTCATAAGTACCCATTTATTTTGAAGTTGATCCAGCCTCATCCTCTTCACACGTTTACTGCTATTATTCAAAGAGAACAGAAGTGTCCTGTACCTTTCCAGCACTAGCAAAATGTTTTGAACAGCTAATAATGTTCACATCAGAATTTGAACTACAATAAAATTTAGTGTAAAAAGCAATGAAGAAGGCCACAGTTTACCCTAGAAAGACACATAAAATCAGCTTGCATATCAACTCAAATCTTATTTAGATTTTTTCATTCCTGCTTCTCAGAGAAAACCTATTACTACCTATTAATAAAAACAACAAAACACCAACAGCTTCCACCTAGAGAAATGTGTATGCCACACCATCTCAGCATTCAAAGGCAGACTGATTCCCATACAAAACTATAATATTTATACTTGAAATACTCCAGAGGACTCCAATGGCATCCTGTTTGTTTCTCAATTTTGGTATATAGATCTCAATTTTGGTATAGAGAAAAGCAGATGAAAAACTGACATACCTGGGTATGGGCCAAAAATGCAAAAAGATGCTGTAATTTTCTCATTAGGGAATTACAGCCATTTAGATTCAGAGATAAAACATGTCTTCTGAAACTGAAATGAAAGAGACATCAGTTTCATTGATAACATTCTAACAATGCAGTTACCAGTCCAGCTCAGATAATTACTTCAAATTGAAAGCAAGCAAAACACATAACACTTCTCTTTAATACTGGAACTCTGCTCTAGTGCAGATATAAAATTACTGTATCGTAAGAATTAACACTGCACAATACCTATTTTTTTTAACATTTAAATGTGTAGGAATGGGACACAGACGGACTTTTTTTAATACCCTTCCAGATTATAACAAAAGCATCACCAAAAGTTTTTACAATACAGCAGTGAGCAAGGACAGTGAGGAAAAAAGGACTGGTCTTTTGACACGGGGCAGAAGGATCAGGATTTTTTAGTGGCTAAAACTGCAGTTTCTAAAGCTAAACATGAAAAAAAGCAATCAGCAAAATAACCCACTCAGCTCTAGCAAGGTGAGAGACCCCAGGACATGTTACAATTTTGTGAAAAGCAAGAATGCAGTAACTGCAAGAATTATTTGCAATTAAAAGAGCTGTTAAGAAGCACTTACTCTGTAGCCATAAAAAGTGCCTGAATAACACTGTTCATGTAGCAAGTATTTCCTAGATTTATTAGGCCTGTCTTCCCAGTTTCAGATTTTCCAGAAAGTCTAGATAAACAAGATGGCAAAGAACTGTATTGAGAAGTCCAGGCACTCTGACTGAGGATCAATTTAATCTTCTCTTCAGCGGGTTTGGGCATATCCTGCAAGAGAAACATTTAACATGCTTAATAGGTTTCTTTATTTGTTTCTACAACAGGTCTTGCCATTCGGCAGTATTGTATCTTTCCCTGCTCCCCAGTTCTCCTTCAAGGTCTTCCTGCTGTCCCTGATAGTCTAGAATATACAACAGCCCCCCTGCCCTTGTTCCCTTCTCTCCCCTCAACCTTCTTCTTCAAAGCTTTATACTTATTATATATTTCAAACATAGGACTGATATGAGATTATGTGGTCAGCTCTTTTCTCCATGTGGAAGCTGTAAAGAATTTGGATCTGTGGAACTACAGCTCCACATCTGGGAAAACAAAAAAACATTCCACGCTCTTAACATTCCTAATGTACCTTAATAGCTTCCAGAATGGGTTCATAGAGCTCTGGAAAACCTGAATAATGATACATCATACAGTGTATCAACTCAGTCAACTGCATCAAAAAGGCTGTACTGGAAGGCAAGCCATCTCTTTTGAAGGAGTGAACCAAACTGACCACGTGTGGGACAATCTGAATGGGAAAACAAAGAAACAAACAAAAAGGTGTTAACTGCATTTTCTCATTGTTTTTTTCCTTCTACAAAATACCTCATTGGTTTGTACACGCCAAATGACAGAGGATCTTTTGTTATTAAATAAGAAGTGGTTGAGAAACAATGACTTGAAAAACGTACATTATTCTTTACACGACAAATTTCAAGCAGCACAATTAACTATTCAGTGTTCTCTTTAACTCACATAGCAAGTGTTAAAAGGAACTTTATGAACTTAAAAGGTGCATGCAAGGTTTTAAACAGTCAAGCGTCCAAAAGTACTCATCTTATTAAGGATATTAACTGCAAACATTTTGCTTTTGTGCCACCACTAATAATTTAGCATCTTGTTCTGATTTCACAGATGTGGTTTTTAAAACAAACCTCTACATTTTCCTTCTATAGAATCTAATACTTGGACTCACAATTAATTACAATTAATTGGACTCCAATTAATACATTCCTGCTATTCCTACAAGAAGGAAACTGGCCCATAGCTCCACCTAGTGAGGCATCTCAGCTCCATAAACCATGATCTTTTACTACAAGCTGAAAGTTTACCACAGCTATAGTAATCTCTTTGAGACTTAATTCAGATTCAGGACTACTTTAAATTGGGTCAGATTAGAATCAGAAATGTTTACTTCATGTCCTTCCTCTTCTTCAGCACAGCTCTCTATTTTTACATATGTGAGACATTAGCCTTAAGACATCAAGTGAAAATTTACTTCAAAGCAATTTACAAAGAGAGGGACTTCTCACTGTGAACCAAAGTATTTCAGACACCTTTGCCAGTTGCCAAGCAATTAAGATTAATTAACTTTGAAAGAAGTTGATTGAATAATTTCTCATCATTCATTACTACCAAACAATTTGTAAGCTAAAGGCATAAAATATAGAACAGGAATCATAAGAATATAGGAATCTGAGGAAGGTATACCAGTTACAAGAACTGATATAGTTCAAAACACCAAAGTAAAAAGGGCTAGGTGCAAAATACAGATCTGTCACTTTTTCAAATATTGGTTATTCTCTGGGTATTAAAAATATTTTTACATCTCTGATAGATAAACCTTGCTCTTTAAGGAAGCAAGATATCCACTGTTTAAAAATAAAAACACAAAGATGAAGTGTTCACTGTGCCACAAGTTCATACTGAAAGCTATTGCAATGAAAAAATTCTTCCACTTTATAAATATCGGTACACAGCAATGAGAAAGCAACTACTGAGCTCCAAGCAGGAGCTTTGTATTAGGTAGATCTGAGATATGATACTTCTGCATAGACAAGCACATGGGAAGAAAAAGTATAGGTTCTCAGCTCTGTCAAACAGAGTCAAATTCTGCAGGGTGGATAATACTGAAAGTTACACTTCAAATACACACAGAATTATCTCTTCTGGCTTGAGGTTGCATTAAAGTTTTATATATCAATAGATTTTTGATGATCGTAAGTTCTACATCATAAGTACAAGACTGCTTCTGCTATAAAAATATCGAAATAATTTAATTTAATAATTTAATGATGCTCAAGTGTAAGGAGGGGGAATGTAATTTCAGATACATTACCAAGTAAATTCATTTCTATTTATCAAATGTGCATTTGACACTTTCATAATCAGATCAATTGTTTTTAAAAAAGTAAACAAGCACTTAAAGTGAAGAAGATATTCCAGAATATTAAATGGTAGTAGTATAAAAATGATAGTGAAAGAAGAAATTTTTTTTAAATGGAGTAAAAATGGCCATGAAATCTTGCAGGGAGGCGTGTATGCAATACAGCATGAAGCCTCCAATAGAAATTTTCTCTGGTAAATCAAATTGCTCTTTCTACAATAGGCTATCTCATATTTTACATTTTTTCTAATGTTTTTGTCTCAGGAAAAAGAAGAAAAGCAAGACAGAAAAATATATGAAATATTTATGTTTTGAGCATATTCAAAGCTTTTAACTGTAACTCAAATTTCTATCCTAAAACAAGATCAGGGCAGCGGAGAAACTTCAGAGATCTCTCATGAAAAACCAAAGTAACGGGCAAAAGGCAATTACCCTGACATTAAACAAAGGGCTTGATATCCTTTCAGAGCCTTGGGAACAGCTTAGAAAGAACATGCCAGGCTGTTACTATTAAATCTCAGACATTTCTCCTAAACATTAAGCTGAACACCAAGTGTGAGAACACCTTGCTGTATTGATACAGTCACTGTCGTGCTCTCCTATCTATGCCCTTAACTAATGGAATGCATTTTGAAAAGGGGTCATTAAATATGGTGACCTTTAATTTGCCCATGAACATTGACACAGACAGCACAGCTTTCTGGAAGTTAAGTACTTCTTGGTCTTGAGCCTGTTCAGGGTGACCAGGTTACATAAAGCAGATTATCACTGTTACTTGTTTTCCCCAAACAGCTGTCCTCAAAAACCTACTTGCTGCCCAACTTTATCAGCCAATTTCACACACATGAAATGGATTTCCAGAAACATGCAGTCAAAATGTGATGCCCAGATACTCCTGCCAAAAACAGATACATACAAGGAAGGACAATGCTTGTTTCTAGTTATATATGAAGTGGTTGAATCTGGAAGCTAAAAAGCCTTCCTGTAACCACAGGAACCTGATTCTAGGACCTTCTAACAGACATAATCCAAGCACATAAATTCTGTTGCTCTTTATACCTATTTCAGAAATGACACAGTGAGTGACATTTCAAAGCACCGAAAAACAGTTATTTAGTAACTCACCAAATGAAAAGCTTCTGGAGAATGCTGGAAACTAAGTAACATGTGGGAAAGAACAGCAAGGGCACCAGGCCTCACTAGAGGAAACCAAAGTCGATTAAAGACCTAAAAAAACCCACATTTATTTCAGTGAATCTGCAAAGGAAAATATCAGTAAACACAAAAACAAATCTTCCAACACACAGCCATTTGAAACAGACAAAATCATTACATGCAAGTGACAGCTATAGATACGTTTACATATTTGTAGAGTAAGAAGAAACTGTATGTTACAATAAAAAGGATGCTACACAATTGCATAGCTGGTAGCAATTCCTTTCACTCTCCCTCAGTTTTGAATGCTTTTTTCCAACATACCAATTCAATCTTAAGCAGAGTGACATCAATGAGGATGGTAAATTTCTGGACTGCAGCCAATCCTTTCAGCAGTGCAATCACCCATGTTTCCACGTGCTGAGCCAGAGGCCAGGACAGCCAGTCAATCATTCTGCAAGGCAGGAGGAGAACAAGAAATACAGAAAGCTTAATATGCCACTAACTTTAACCTCAACAAAAAAGATACCTTGCATTAGCTTGCAACATGCCTATGCAATAAGACTCATAATAAGTAATGCGGGAATGTTGGGCAAGTGGTAAATTAATTTTGATTATATCTCAAGTCATTTAACTCTAAAATGAATAATTATTTATTTAATACACTTGAAGTAAATATACATCCCCAAAAATATGTTATCATAAAACATCACTCTTTTGTATTGTTTCTTGTTGGTCTAGAAAACACACCCTGATTTTAAAGACATTGAGCTAACATATGGCAAAAAATTACTGCTGAAAGTGTGCCTGTACCTGGTAACCTCCCCTCTAACACCTTTTACTCCAAAGCAGACCAAAACTGACTAGTAAGGAAACTTCTTCAACTTATAGCTATACTCCCGGAAGCCAACTCAAACACTCTAAATTAATGGTAAAATCTAGTCATTTTAAATACATTGAGCAGTCTTGGGTCTGCATATATCTCAAAAGGGAGCATTTTGCTTGAACTAAGAAAAAAGTGAAGGGACCTCCTGTGCCTAGAAAATACAGTGAAATATCAGGTATAGAAAACAGAGGTATTTTAAACTAATAGTCAATTTATACTGATCCTTAAGGCAGACAACCAGATGAGTTGAAACAATTCTAAGACACAGAAAATATTTTAAGGGAATGCCAGCTAAAACATGAAATCTAGGCTTTGTTCTTCTGAGATTTTACTTGGCAATATTTTGAATTTTTTTTAATTGTCCACAAGATTCCTTTCTTTAAACAAGACGAGGCAGGATTAATTAGGTGGAAGAAAAAACTGTCTACCACAAGAGTGGACAGATACTGAGACAAGTTATAATGCATATATCTTAGAATCTGCACATATAAAATTTATAGGTTTCTCTAAAAATAAGAGATCTTTAGAACTGCCTTTTTAACAAACATGCATAAATCTTACCAAGTTTCTGTTGTATTACTACAAAAAAAAAAAAAAAAAAAAAGGAAAAAAACACGGCAACATCATAATCAGTGCTGTGAATTTACACAAAGCTCTCATTTCCTCAATATGTTAAATTCAAACATGTTTATCCTGAGCAACCTTTCCATATATTCTCTAAAACAGAGGATGTTTTTGATCCCAAACTGGTTTTGTCTGTGAAGAAATAACCTTAACCTAAAAAAAGACCCCACAACTCATAAACCAATCATCTTCAAATCCCCCCCTCCTTGATTTATAGGCTTGATATTTTTCAGCAGTCAGAAACATCTGCACAGCTAGTTTAAATTTAATGACAATATATTATTTTCTTAACTGTTTAGACAAGTATTCTGTAGAGCCTACATCAGAACCACTATTCTAAACCATCTGACTGTTAATCTGAGAGTTAATGATTTTGAGAGCAGAAACAAAAGCCAGAAAAAGAGACAGAAGTGAACTTGCAGACCTGGTTAGGACTGTCCCAAAATGCATCAAATATTAGATCTGATAGGTGAAGATCAGGTATATTGGTTGCATTTACTTGGCTTCTACTCTGTTGCAATCAATGACTACATTTTTAGGCAGACACTACTATGGGCCATGACAACCATGAATATAAACAGAGGATGCTTTTTTTGGGGTTTGACTAGATTAAGAGAACCTTAAAAGCTTCAAGAGGACTTTCTGCCTCATACCACCCTAAAATCAGCAGGTCTTAATACCAATGTGTGTTCCTAGTGAGGACAGTATTTTTTATATCTTTGAATAGAAAAAAAAAATTTACTTGGACAGTAACTTCTTTCACAAAATATCTTTTTCACCACATCAAAGAATCTGGCAGCTCAGGTGTGAGTCCCTCTGATTAGGAAAAAAAAACCCCAAAATAGCAACAGAAGATCCTCAGACTTCCTGGCACCCCAAATAAATTACAAGTCTTTTACAGAATTTCACATTTTTTCCAATAGGACAGAGCACCTGGTTATATCTGGAGATCTTCCCTAGCAAAATTTTCAGTTTCTCTTAAAGACACTTGGGTTGAAGTGCAAAGAAGTATTATACTTGTCAGGATCCTGAGTACAGCCAGTTCATTTCCTCCCAGAGTTCTGAAGAAGACTCTGAAAGTAGCCATATAGCCTCAAAAAGATTCAACAGTTTTCTGCTTTTCCTCACTGATGCTTCAGGTAAGGTTTCATGATGCACCTAAGTCAATCAGAAACAGCTCAAGCCAAATTCTAACATGATCTTGTGTCTAATGTACCACCCACTCTGAACAAACTCAATTTATGAGTCTGTTAAATATAAATTATTTACTATTCTGTGCTCAGCTTTAGAAAGTGCCACAGACTCGGAGTGACACAGATGTTATACTTAGGAAGTGAGCAACAAGGTCACTTTTACAGTGACCAATTTACAGTGACCAAAGCTCTGCTAACTCTCATCAGACCTTGTTGTGCCTGGAGTTCTGCATCTCCTGGGAATGTGGCAAGCCTGATGACAGCATAGTCATTTGGTGCTCCAGACATTCCAGCTGCATTAACCTCTTAACAATTGCTTCACTAAGACAGAAGAGAGTAATAACTGCAAAGGATTGCCAGAGGTAGAAAAAGAAACTGGATACAGTGTTGACATGAGGTTCCATTGAATCAACATTATTTCATGGAACAAAACTAGAGGCTCTTAAGAGAGAGCATTACCTCAAAGAATGAGGTAAAAACAAAAGAAAAACTCACCCATTACATGGCTGTTACCAAAAAAAAAAAAAAGAGCATTTATTTGATAATAACAGCTCCTACTGTAACCAAAGCTCAGTACTACATTACTTCCCTAAGCAGAGGCACACAGCAAAGCCATTCTCAAGCTACAGTTACATGATCATGCTGTCTTGATGCAGCAATGCTACACAAATGTTAAAACTACACTAACTTGAAAACTAATCATCACATTACTGGCAAATTATCAGCATGACCAAATCCTGATTTTCCCAGCTCTGACCTTTAGACTGGGAACACAGCTTTGGCGAAATTTCTTCAGTCAAGGAGAGTCTCTTAAAGTCCCTAAACAATATGTTTTACTCCAAATCGTATTACTAATGCTGCTTCTTTTCATTATGTTTGCGACTAAAATACAGCTTCTCAACTTACTGTAAACACAAGGGATGCTTTCAGTGTGAGAAAGCCCATCAAAATATTCGAGCGCTACACTACACTAATGCTTAAGTATTACACTGTGCTCAAATGGATGTACTTAAAATTAATAATATTGCAGACACTGAACTCTTAGTTTAAGGCTTCTTAAAAGTTATTGTTTAAACAATACAAATTTCTAGTAGTCCCCTGTTTAACTGCATTACCCATTTTTCTACCTTCCAGTAGTCAATAACAACTTCTTCAATGGGGTTAAAAAAAAAAAAAAAAAAAGAACTTAAAGGTTTTCATCCTTCTATCACTGTCATCTTTCTGCATCACTATTATTCACCTATCTGAAGACACTAACAATTCCAATCTGAATCCCAGTCTGTCTACATGGCTACTCATCTCCACATTTACTCAAGTTTAGATTACTGACAAACATAACATATAATTGCTTTTACATAATTTCTATTTCTGTATCATTCAAAGAACATCCAAAAAAACTATGAGGGTTTGAGTGAAAAGGGTAATGGAGGCTGTTCTCTGTGAATCCTTCTAAAAAATCCTTAAGATCTCTAAGAAGGAAAAAACCCTCAAAACTGAGGAGTAAAACTCATTGTGAACTGGCTCCTCTCTTCAGAGGAGGAGATGATGGTTAATACCATCACATGAGAATGCTACCCTACTTCTTGGAAAAGCAGTAAGGTTTATCTTCTGAAAACAAGGCCTTGTTTCTCAGCCTGACTGTAAACCCCATGAAGTTTCCTACTTACACCATCTTCCATAAGGCAGGAGACCTCACTTAATACGTCATCTAAGAGGAACACAGGTGTTTCCTCTCAGCTTCTATTTAACCCTCATCATCCACCCCAGCAGGGCTGGAGAAGGAAGCCCCAACAACAATGAAGGCAGCAACCTTAAACTGAAACCATGCCAGTAATATCCACAGCATTGTTCATATATATATATATCCTTAAACACTTAACATGCCAAAAAGCATTACTTGGAATACCATCTTAAAAGTTTCTCTTCTTCATGCTTTTGTTTGGTTGCTTTTTTTTAATGGAACTTCAGTAAGAACTTCAAGAAAGGCACGATTTAGAAAGAGACTCTTCTCTCCCTTCATAATTAAATACATTACCTGCACAGAGCTTGAGTCATACTTGCATCTTTCACATTAGGATCTGTAGTAAGGCTCCTGATGAGTACTGTAATCATCTGCAATGGTATGTGCTGCACAAGACTTGCCAGTGCAACAGAAGGCTCAAACGAAGTATCTGTAACAATTGAGTATGACATAATGTAAGGAACTAAAAAGAAAATCCCACAGAAAAAGAAGCTTTATGTTCTACCCTACAATCTTACCATAGTTGAAAAGTGACCATAAATCTGTCCTACATCTTGCATTCTATTATGACAAACCAAACCAAAATTAGAACATATAAATTAATTAAGGACAACGAACAGCAGTGAATTCTTTAGTTAATTTCATATCCATGCAAGAAAGTGACAATCTGCCAACTACTTCCTCCGCCACCCTAAGTGGAATTGAGAAGTAGGTTTTAAATTTTTCTAAAAAGCAGTACCATAAGTTGTTTATTATACTTCATATTACGCCTAGGAATTTAGTGCAGCTGATATTCCCCACATCCTATCTCAACAACTCCCTGCTAACCATACCACTTATGGCAAAATGCAATGTTAAGTTTCCCAAGTGCCTCAACAGCAAAGGCACTTTGCAATGGGATCTACTATAATACTTCACAGATTTCAGAAGTCAGAAAAGACCTATTTACAATCACATTTCCATTACTCAGGCACTGGATGTTTCCTAAAATTTTATATATTGCTTTTACATATATTACTTATATATATTTATAAATCCCAAATTGTTAAATGGTTCCAAGGAGCAAGAAGAAAGAAGAGCTTTTCATTGAATAACAGAACTGAGTTGTAAGGGACCTCTGGAGACCGTGTAGCCTCAACCCTCTGCAGGAGCAGGTAACACAGGAACACACCCAAGTGGGGTCTCCATCTCTCCAGAGAGGGAGACCCCATGACTTGCATGGGCACCCTGTTCCAGTGCTCCGCCACCCTCAATCTAAACAAGTTCTTGCTCATGTTAAGGTAAAACTTGTGTTTTAGTTTATGGCCTTTGCTGTCACATTGCTGGGCACCACCAAAGAGTTTGACACCAACTTCTTGGCAACAGCCTTTCAGATATTTATATGCATTTTACTATTGATAGTTTTAAATCTTTCTTAATAGGGCATCCAAAACCTCATTTCAGTATTAGATTTAAAGCACTGTATCAGGAGTTTTTCTGAACGCCATCCTAATCTGCAGCAAAACAAATCACTATTCCCCTCTAGCTTTTGGAGGGGTGGACAGGAAATAAAAAAGGCTTTGCTTTCTCGACAGTTAACAAGTTGCACTTTAGTATGCGGGTGAGAAAGCAGTGGTTACCAGGTGATGCCTGCAAGAGAGCCCACTGCCTGCGCTAAGGCTTTTCCTCTTCTCCTAATAACCTACGCGCCACTCCTGCTCACCCGTGGCAGAGATGACAGCGAAGAGTTCCTGCAGGGAGGGCAGCAGCGTGTCGGGCTCGGCCTTCCAGACGCTCCTGAGCAGCGCGCTGACCTGGGTCACCTGCGAGACGTAGAGGCGCAGCTCGGCCTCGCGGGTGCCCTGGCTCTGGAAGTGGGCGATGCTGCGCACCAGCTGCTGGCAGAAGGCGAGCGAGAGCTTCCTGCCGCGGGGCAGGCACTGCGGGAAGTCGCCCAGCAGCTGGCAGAGGCGGGCGCAGAGCGGCGGCGCCGGCCGCTCGCACACCAAGCGCAGCGCCTCCACTTGCAGCAGCTCGAAGAGCTCCAGCACCGAGGGGCAGCTCATGATGAGCCGCAGGCCCGCCTGGATGTAGTCGAGGATGGCGGGGTCGCGGTTGCTCAGCTCGCCGTAGCCGCGCTGCAGGAGGCCGAGAACGAGCCCGCGGTTGAAGAATGCCTCGAACTCGGCGCGGTGAAAGCGGCCGTAGGCGTCCAGCACCTGCCGGCCCACCTGCCGCTGGAACGGGTCGGGACCCTGCAACACCAGCCGGGTGCCGAGCGCGAACATGGCGCGGCACTGCGCCTGGCTCAGCGGCGTCTCCGCCGACTCCACCACGCGCCGCACGATCACCCGCTTCAGCGGCAGCGGGTGCGAGGAGCTCACCAGCCCCTCCAGGATCTTGTCCATGGCTCCGGGCGCATCGGCCGAGCGGCGGCGGCGGCGGGCCAGACTAGGCCTCGGCGGGGGCCGCCGCCGCCGCCGCCTCCCCGCGGCCCTCTCGCCGCCCTGCCGCGCAATGCCGCCGCTCCCGCCGCGCTCCCCGCAGCTCCGGCCCGGCCCTCGCCCGGGCGGCGGCCCCGGCCCCGCTCCCCGGCCCGGCTGAGCCGACCCCGAGGGAGGCGAACGAACTCCGGACCCGACCCGGAAGCGCAGCCCCGCGAGCGGGAAGCCGGCCCGGAGAGGGCAGGGCAGCAGCGCGCAGGCGCCGGCCCGGCCGCGGCACGCCCCGCCCCCCGCGCAGCTGCCGGCCAATGGCGGGCGGGGGCGGGGCTGAGCGGGGCAGGGCGGCCGTGAGGGGATGGGGGAGCCGCTCGAAGCGGCCCCTGGGAGCGGCTCGGGTGCGGGAGAGGCTCCGGGAAGCCGGAGGATTTAGAGTCGGCGCGGGTTGTTACCCTGTCACCTGCTCCCCAGCCTGTACAAGTCCCACTGGCTTGCTCCATCCTCCCTCACGGAGACACTTTGGCGCATGAGGCGATGGCGGCCCGCTCTCGGCCTTCGTGTACAGCCCGTAAGCTCCTCCTGAGATGTGTATTGCTTCATTACCGCTCATCCTGCTTTAGTTGTTGCTCATTTTTGGATGCTAGTTACGGGTGTGCTTGTGAACAGCAGCACTTCCTCAGAGCGGCCTTTGCTCCTTAGCAGCGCTCTAACAGAGCAGAGTTAATGCTGACACACACGTGCTTGTTGGGAGAGCGTTCCCATCCTTACTTAATCCTTCATTTCTGACCCGGTTTAGCTCCAGTTTCCAACAATCAAATCTTGTTAATGTACTTCGCATTTCATACCACAATACGTTTTGAGAATAAGTGAAAAAGAAAGAGTTCTGCAAATTACTAAGACTGAATATTGTCATACAGTCATGGAATCAGGGAATGCTTTAGCATGGAAAGGATCTTAAAGGTCATCTAGTTCCAGTCCCTCCTGCCATGGGGAGGGATGCCACTCAGTACATCACCTTTCTCAGAGCTCCATCCACCTTGTCCATGTTAGCTCTTTGAGAACTAAGTAACAAGAAAGGTCACAAATTGAATTAAAACCATCATTGCCAGTAAACAAACTATAGACCAAACTCCACTCACTCAAATCAAATCCTTTAGGCCAGCTCACTGTGACGTAGGTGACAGTCACTGGTGACAGGCCAGCTCACTGGACGTGCCGGCAAAGCCTTCTTAGTTTGCTGTTTCTGAAAACATCTTCATGCTATGTGGTTGAGCAATACCTGTCAATCAGCATCAGGAGAGTATGGGAAATGAGCCTAATTATTGCCTGCTAGTATTTGAAGTGGAACATGTGCAGAATCTGAGCTGGAGCTTAGGCTGACAACAGATACCATTGATTTAAGAGTAAGTAAAAAGATCCACAAACACTCCAGGGAGAGCTGTGAGATACTATAGCCATCAAACAACAAAACATGAAACCAAGAAGTTCAGAGATGGCCTGAAAATAGAGACCCTGTTGATAAATTATTTCAGTTGCTCAGTTAAACAGCTTAGATGACTTGAACTTTGCTCCTCTGTCCTTCAGTTTTCTGTTTGCTCCTCACAGAAGTAAAGTCTGGTTCTAGAAACCACTGTGCAATTTACTGAGTTATTACAGTCCAGTATAAAGTATGTTGATCAAAGGCTTTTTTACAAGAACTTTTCAAAGGTCAGAGGCTGTTACTACCAACATCTTAATTATCTAAATTGTGTTTGTACAGTGTTCTGTATGGGAATTATATCTAAATTAACTTTTTTTTTTTTCCCAGAAGGACTTTGTTGTAAACATACATAAAAAATTTACCTTGAAGAAGGTGCTGGATTGTGTGGCTTGTATACCTGTGGAACTTAATGCTTTGCCTTCTGTGATCTTGACTAGGAGTGTTTTAATTTTCTTATGTTTACTAGTACAAACTTTTTTTTCTTTTTCCTAGCACTGTTTATGGTGAATTCTGAAGCCAGAAGAGGAGAGGAGTCCCCTCAGGATCCAAAACAGAACTCTGAAAGAAAGAAGCACTGAAATCAAGTTGCCAGTGACACATGCATGGAAAGGGATAAAGTGAGACCTTATGTGGGTAGAGAATCATGGAGAATGGAAGGAGAAAGGAAGTTTGGAAGTATGCGAAGCTGCAAGGTGGTCACATATATTGATGTGAAAGAGAATAAAGGAGAAGAAAGGGAGAAAGGCATGTGGTATGGCAGGCTTGTGGGACATATGATGGAGTAGGAAAAGAAGAGGGATAATGAGTGAAGCCATTGCCACAAATAGGGAAGAAAATGTGGAAGAGCTGGAACAGTCGTGGAAGAGCTGGAACAGTTGTTGAAAAGCTGGAGACTTATGGATGATTTTCAGGAGCATGGAGATATGGGGAATGCTGAAAGCATGAGCAGCTGCAGATTAGCAGGATCAGGGGTTCCTGTGAGCCAGGAAATCAGAAGTCTCAACAGGTTTTTAGTGCTTTGCCCTTTGTTTACATAGCAGTGTGGATGGGAGGGGAAGCAGTACCCACTGCTTGGGATAGGGAAACAGTTTTCCTGACAGCCTGGAACTGTTCTGTCCAGCAGCCCAGTCACAGCAGTCCCTGTGTAGGTAAAGCATGTTCTTTCCAAAAGCCCCAGGAAGGTCTGAAAATCTACAGCCCCCATAAAAATGAAAATTGATAGCTGGAGGTGAATAGTTGGAAGGAGGGCAAGGTGTTGGAATCTGCAGGTATTGATGATTCCGAGATTGTAGAAAGTCTCTGTCTTTCTGCCCCGTTGCCAAAGAAGAAGCCATAATTCGTCTGTGCTGGTTTCAAGGTTGTTTATTCTTGTTTATCTCTAACATGTTCTGCTGCCCTGCCGCAGGTCTGTCCTGCAGGGCAGCGTGTGGGGCTCTGCCCCTCAGTGGGAGGTTACACACATTAAATACCAGAAACTACCTGTGCTATATTTACAATAATGTGCCAATATCTGTCACCTACGTTAAACAGCATGTCCCCAGCCTAAACCAATAGAAAAATGCCAACACTACAGTGAAACATGGAGGGCATGAAGAAGGAGGAAAAGGACAAGATACGCCCAATTTCCTCCATCTTGTCCCCTCTGAACCCCTAATCTAGAATCCTAAAATTTTACTTTTGCACCCGTGCCACACTTAATTATTACTCATATCAAACACTCAGAGCTTGTAATTCATCCTGTAAGATTGAAAACTCCTCTCCATGGACACAGATCAGAGACAGTGTCTCTCGGGGCTCTGTACAGGGGGGTTCCCGACCCCCTGCCAGGGTCCCAGGCCCTCCAGGGCAGCCAGAGGGACGCCTTGGATTCCCACAGCAAGGAAATTCTAGCAGAGAAGCTTGAAAATAGTGATCCTATTTGCAGGCAGATGACCAAGTATGCATAGTCCTTATTTAATGATTGTATTTCAAGTAATAAAGCCAGCAATGAAAAACAAGTGGTTAAGTGTTACCATGTTTGATTGAGTCACTGAATTGCCTGTGACCTCAGAGCTAAGACTAACCTGAACTGTCAGGATGATCCTAATTACAACATTACTATTAGATATGCAATTACCAATCTATAATTATGAGCTAAATTGTAGAACACTGACTGTTCCTCTATTTACAGTGTAATCTGACTCCTGTATATAAGAACATTACTAAATGTGACAAAATTAAAAATAAATTCATTCTTCAGTCAACAAAATATATCTTTAAATACTTTATCTGAAAAAGTAAGTAAAACACCCAGTTATGTTTCATGAAAAGTAATGATTATTGTTAAATACTAATTACTCTTACTGTGAAAAAGCACAAATAGCAGCAGCAGGTTAACCATGGTGTCATCTCTATGATAACTCAACAATCTTCAAGACAGGAATGCCAAAAGGAAACATTTTATTTATAATCCTGGATTAAAGATATTCTGTCAGCCTTATGCATGAGATGAATTCTTTCTAGCAGAACATTTCATAGATAAGGGGGCCATCCTAAAGGCTTATGAGGCTCTGGATGCAGCATCTGCCCATTCCTTATGCCACCCATGTGAAGCAGTCTGACATGCTGGACTTCCTGCTACTGTACAGAGGTATCATGCATGGCATGCAAGACAGCAAGGGCAGTCTTCCAGAGAGGCAGGATCCCATCCCACACATCTGCAATAGGTTCAGGGCCTCTGACAGAGCGCCACGTGGCTTGGCTGTGTGCTTGCATGACTGCTAAATGTAGTATAAGACAGGCAGCAGGAGACCAGGGCAGATGAGGAGCAGGCTTCTCTTTTCAGTCACAGTTTGCTCTTTGAAGTGTCACTGTGACATTAGACTGCGCCGTGAGTCAGGAGCTCCTGAGCAGTACTTGGGGCCTCCATATCTACTCCAGTGGTGTAGATACCCTGAATTAACTGCAGGGTTGGTATCTGTCAGGTACAAAGAGTGGTAGCTCGAGAGGTTCAATTAATAATGTTTGCTAACTATTAATTAAGTGTTTTAAGTTTGAAAGTGTTGAGTAGAAATGCCTGAACATTGAATTATTGTGTTCTACTTGTATACTGTCTCATGTCCCAAAGGTTCATTCAACTGATAAACAACAGGGCCAGAGATTTATTTATCCAAAAATCAAGACAGCACAGCAGGCAGCCCCAGTGTCTTACTGAAACCTGTTATCATGATACAATTACTTATTTTTGAGGAGAGAATCTTTGATTTGACAGAGCTGTTTTGCCTCCTGCAGATGCAATCTGTCATGATTCATTTTTGCATATATAATATAAGTATATTTGCAATGTCAAGGAGCAACATCTGACTGAATTTGGCTTTATTTCTAGTTCTGTATTTATTTTTCTCAGTTTTAAAACAGGGATGTTGCAGGGCTTGCATTTGGTATTCAAGACCCATTCAGTAATTGCCTTAAAAGCAAGGAGCGTCTGTAGCTTCAGACAAGGAACTGACTATTAACAGCGAAGATAAAAGGCTGCAGTCCTGCAATGGTGGGAGATCTAGGTAGCT